AAGGCAATACAATGTTCAATTTTTTTTTTATTAAAAAAAATTAGAAAAATTGAAAATAATACCATAAAAGGAAAGCCAGAAAAATGGAAGACAATACAATTAAAAGAAAAAAAACTACAAAAAACAGAGAATAATATCATAAAGAAAACCAGAAAAATGGAAGACAACACAATTTTAAAAAGCCTTTAAAAAAACCCATAAAATAATACCATAAAGAAAACCAGAAAAATGGAACACAAAAGATCTACCATTTTTTTAAACAAACTAGAAAAACTGAAAAAAAATAACAGAAAGAAAACCAGAAAAGCTAGAAACAGAACAAAACTAAAAGAGAGAATTAAAAGACATTTGGCAGCTACTGCCTATTTCCTTCCCTATAGCTGAGGGAACGACCCAAGAGAAAGAATGAAAAGAACAGGGGGGGGGGGGATGTAAAGAAAAAGAGAAAATAATACCACAAAGACATCCAGAAAAATGGCAGACAATACAATAATAATAATTTACAAAAAAACAACTAGAAAAACAGAAAATAATACCATAAAGAAAACCAGAAAAAAGGAAGACAATACAATGTAAAAATCCTAGAAAAACATTTTAAAATACCATAAAAAGAGAACCAGAAAAATGGAGGACAATACCATTTTTTAACCAACTTAAAAAACAAAAAATATACCAGAAAGAAAACCAGGAAAACTAGAAACAGAAAGAAACTAAAGGAGAGAATTAAAAAAGTTTTAGCAGCTACTGACTATTACCTTCTCTATAGCCAAGAGAACAATCGAATAGAAAGAGTGAAAAGATCAGGAGAAAATAAAAGAATGTAATGAAAAAGAGAAAAATATCGTACAGAAAAACAGGGGGAAAATACCGTTCAGGAAACTAGAGACACAGAAAAAATAATACCATAATGATACAGAAAACCAGAAGAAGAAAAAAATGGAAACAAAACGAATCTAAAAGAGAGAATGAAAAGAGATTTGTCCCTGAAGTGGAGTGTGTTCATGAATTACTATTAAGTGAAATTAATGGCCATAAAGAAAGGTTAGACCAGAGTACTAGTGATCAAAAGGTTGTCAGTGCGATTCCTGACTGCACTGGATTTGAGGACGTGTACTTCCCCCTCCCAGTCGGGTTCATATTTGATGATATTAACGACAGCTTGGGTACAAGTATAAGCCTGAGACCGACGAGCATTCTGGCTGTGGCTTGACCGTGCAGCATCTGTCCCTATTCATGCAGGCCATAATGAGCCAGGATAAGCTATTGCTCTACGGACCACTCTTCTCTCTCTCTCAGAGTAACTTCTCTGACATTCATGAGATGTAGGGCGCTACTCAGTGGTGACCGGGTGTGTTCACTTCGCCAATCAGAATACAGGTTATGTATCTAGCTTATTATTGTTTATATATTATTGTTCATTTATATTATGCATGTGACTGTAAGCCTGTTTGTGAGTGCAAACATACCGCGTGTGTGTGCATGTTTTTGTGTGTGTGTGTGTGTGTGTGTGTGTGTGTGTGTGTGTGTGTGTGTGTGTGTGTGTGTGTGTGTGTGAGCGTGAGCGCGTGTGTGTACGTGGTGAAACACCAAATCAGTGTGCCAAGATCTGGACAATACAAGTTGTCTTATCTTATCTTATCTATGATCACAACATTATTGTCCTCTAGTGATGTCGGTACGTAGTCTAGTGGTTAGGCTACCAGACCCGTAATCGTGAGGTCGTGGGTTCGGGGGTTGAGACTCAGGCCTGACGTTGCATCCTTGGGAAAGACACTTAACCACGAATATTCCTCACTTCACCCAGGTGTGAATGGGTACCCAGCTATAGACAGTGAAAGATCTTATCAGTATGTTAGTATTTTAGCGCCTATAAAACGGCAGCTTGCACTGTTTTTTCCCAGAACGTATAAAATGTTTCAGAATGCTCTCAGGTCTGCTGGGGTAATAATACAGATTCTAAAGTGCACCGAGCTCGCTGTTGAGACGGAATTTGCCTATACAAATGCTATCTATTACCTATTATAATTGTATTATTATATTACTCACCACATGCTTTGCTACCTTGAACAAGAGCTGACAACTTTGCTGCCGGAGTCAGAGTCTGCAACAGACATACATATATACATAATTCTCTGTCTTTGGCCTTTGGCCAATGAAAGAGATTATCTTCTTTTACTCTTTTTTTTTCTTCTGAGGAGACCTAACAATAGACTTCTAACACAGAGTGGTAAAGTCAACACAAGCTTGTCAAAACACCCCCTTTTTTAAAATCAGAAATCAATTCATAAACTATAGCCTCACTTCATCAAAAGTACTCTATAAATAGAGTTTCTTTTTAAAGATATGTGTCAAGAACTTCACAATTTCAGTCAACAAATGACATCAGAAAAAAAAATATTCAAAAAAAATAACCCAATTGAATCTAGATCTAGATGGATTTTTCAGTCTCCTGTAAAATGTGGTTTTTCTATGAGCTGATCCCTTTGTGATTAATGTCATTTATATATTCCTGTAATATCTTTAAGTTTAATATCGAAAATCCAATTAAAAATAAACTTCTTGGATAGGCAAAGAAATAACTTGTAATCAAATATATGTTGGAGGAAATTGTCTTCAAGAATAGGAACTTTGATTTGACAGATAAACTGTTGAAATCCAACATTCCTTGTTTCATACACAATCTCATTTTTCTGTACAAACAAAACCATCCTGCATTCACATCTTATAAAAATGCCACAGGACAAACGACCATCTTGGGCAGATAGCCTCAGTAGCAGTGTATTCACTCAGAAATAACTTCTCTTTTCAAGTTAAGGAAATTCTTGGGTTTTTTTCAGTTTTAATATGTGTTTTACGTACCTGCAATCCAATTAGGTTATATAAATGCCGAAAATCAGAGATCATGTCACATGAGAGTAACAAACAAAGAAAAAGGAGGAGAGATAAGGACGATAGATGTTTGATAGGAAAGAAGGAGCAAACCAAACCAGAGCATACGCCAACTACTTGCAAATTCTTATCTATTTTGCATAGCATCTCATTGACACATTTGCTAGGAGGTGGCTGTAAAGGGACCATGTTAGTGTTGCGTTACTACAAGAACTAGTAGTTCACCAGCACTCGATGCTTGCTCACGCTTCGTTGTAAGTTTAGTGTGTATACTATATAAATGTTCGGTTGTCTTTAGTATTTGTAGCTTGCTGGTATAGTGTGCTTCAGGCGCCACATTAAAACGATAAATGTAAATGTGTGTGGTATGTGTAGTTATAACTTTCTGGAGATCTTACAACCTTACATTAGAAACCTTATTGTCCATGCTGAGAGACCCGAACCAGCCAGCTGCATACACTGGTTCATATGACGTCTGAATGTCCAGACCAACTAGGGAGACAGAACAAAGCTTGAGACTGACATGACACCAAAGCATCAGATATAATTTGGCTCCACTTCTAGAAAAGCATTACTAAAGTTTTTTTCTGTTCTTGACGAAGTACACTACTCCACTCGACACAGAACAAGCCATTTTGAAGAGGGGAACTATTGTCCAAATAAACACGGGACAAATTTAAAACATTCCTTACCAGATAACTGTTATTATTGACCAAGCCCTGCCACTGCTAAAATTTCAGATTTACTCCAAAGCTATCACGTATAATGTTATCGTATGTTGACTACACAACTGTAAATTTTCCAACAATCAGCACTGTTTAATAAAGTCTCCTACCCCAGTCCAGACTGAGCAGACTAATGTTGAGCTTGACACCTTGAGACACTCTGCACACATCAAACGTTCTGCTCAGGGACCCATTTCGTAACAGCACAGTGTCACTGGCCCGAAAAGATAGAAACACGTTTTCTGTTATCATTACTGATTGGTGGGTGTGAGGAGAATGGAGGAGAGAAAATGCACCTGTACAAAATTTTGTTCAGTTTTTTGGAAACTAACCCCCCCCCCCCCCCCAAAAAAAACAACCCAACAAAAAACGAAAACAACAAAACATCCACCTAAAACCAAACAACAAAAACAACCCTATAATCTGTTACAACTATCGCATTTTTGGGTACATTTAAAGCAGTATTCTCTGGAATTTGAACCTAAAATAGACTGATGACAGATTTTTTTTTGTCAATCAGGTTCTCCATCTTATAGTTGATTGGTAGACAACTTATAGTGCAAAATGATATTGTATCTTCCAAGAGTGTAGCATTTCTTATTTTTCGGACTATAGTGTTTGATTCGACCATTAGAAAAAGTAAGCACACAATCGATTACATTTTGCTGAGAATTTTCCATTTCATTCTCTTTGACGACGAGCATGGAGGTCACTGGTTTAACCATTAAAGACACTAAATGAACAGGGTCCACTGTAGCTCAGTTTGTACATGTATTGTCCTGGACTATGGAGCAGATAGCCCCGGTTCAAATCCCCAGTAAAGACTCTCCACCATTTCGCTCGGTCCTATCGCATCACTTCTCACACAATGGATAGACTAAGGGGAGCTGGTGTCTCTAGAGGGTCTGGGAGAGACAGTAACCTGCGTGGAAAAACTAGAAGAAAATCCCACCAGCTGTTAACTGGCACGATCAGCAGGCAGACCCTTTCATGGATCCTTGAGAGGAGGGAGGAGAGGCTATGGCATTGTGCCGCCTGCAAGGATGCCTATTCTCCAACCAAGTAAGTACCAAGTATGTCGAACAGTCCTATCGGAGATGGACGTTAAATTTGGAAGTCCTGCCTCTTAAATAACATTAGAGTGCTGAAAGGGACATTAAGCCTAAACAATGAATAAATGGAAATGAATAAACGGACATACCAGACCAGATTACCTACCAACTAGGCAACTGTTCTACAGATCCCTTTTTTCAGACACTTTTCATGAATCATAAACAGCATTAGGCTGTCCCCGTGGTTTTATGCACCCCGCATAATTTAGCAAAATTTTTCCTTTTTTTTTCATAATTTCTGATTATTTTCCTTTATCTTTCTTTGTTAAAATTAACAGAATCGCATAATTTCACATTTTTGGGCTCAGTTTGCATAATTTCAGAATATCTTTTTGCATAAAAGTGCGGGGAGAGATTAAGGATTGATTTCAAACTTCACGGCAGGCCGCCAGTATCTTACAGAATCCTGCACTTGTAGACAATGTTATTGGCTTCATCCCCCACCAGCAGGATAGCCTGGTGACTGGTCTGTCCACTCGGCTTCTCCTGCAAGACTTCTGCGTTGACCAACTCCACACACACCTTGAGCACCGCTTTCTTCTCTTTGTATGGTTGTACCTGAAACAAAGAGAGTGCGTGCGTGGACAGAGCCAACGCCAAGTCACAGTACAGAGAATCAACCTACTCTCGTTTCAAACAAAATAAAGTTATTTGTGTTGTTGAAAAAGGTAGGAGTTCGTCTTTTTGTTACATTTAGATATTCGTCTGAATATTTGTACATTCAGTGTTCCGTAACAGTACCTGAAACAAAGATAGATGCGTGCGTGGGTGGTGGGTACTCTGGTATGCTTTGCTCCTTCTTTCACATCAAACATCTATCATCCTTGTCTTCCCTCCTTCTTTTTATGCTTGTTACTCTCTTGCAACACCTCTAATCTTCGGATTTACATAACCTTACTGTGTTGCAAGTGCCGTAAAACTCTTACTAAAGCTTTTTAAAAGATAGATCTTGTTTATACATAGCCCTACTTTTTTAGAATAGAAATTGCTGTTACTGAAACAGACAGAGGGATTGGTTGTTAATACACGTACATGTACTGCAAAAGCAGCATAAATTATAAATTACAGCTGTATCCGAAAAAAAACTAACGCAAATGTCGCTACCGAACCAGAACATGCAAGTGACAAATTAATATCCTGCCTACAGCTTTTTAGTATTTTTGTCCATCTCACCTGTTCCACAGCTAGTTCATACTTTGGTAGCATCTCGACAGCAGCCTTCACATGGTTACCAAACGGCGGGTGTCTGTTTACAATCTGATTTGGAAGGACAGACAATTTGGGAAGGAAAACACTGTTTGTTTTAGTAAGTCTTTTGCAGCATTTGCAACACAATGAAGTCATGTATGTAAAATACCGAATATTAGAGGAGTTACAAGAGAGTAACAATCACAAAAATTAGGAGGGGATATATTTTTGTTTTAGTAGAGATTTTACGGCGCTCGCAACTGCATAAGGTCATATGAGCGCCAGACCATTAGAGGTGGTACAAGGGAGTAACAAACATAAAAAAAGAAGGAGGGGAGATAAAGACGACAGATGTTTGATAGGAAAGAAGGAGCAAACCACACCAGAGGACCCACCAACCATCCTCGAGAGGAGATAAGGACGGTAGATATTAGATAGGAAAGAAGGAACAAATCACACCAACCAGAGAGCACCCACCAACCACCCAAGAAAAAACTGTGCATGATGGTGGTCATAAGCATCTGACAGTCATAAGTATGTATGTAGTATTGAACGAGAGAATAATCAGGGGATGAACCAGCAGGACAGGTGATCACTATCACATCAGGTGACAAATTATATCCTTCTCTTCTCATCTGAGGGGGTGTGGGGGGCGGCATGCTATCACTCGGTTATATCTACCAATAGCTATTGCAATCAAACAAATGTTTTTTCATACAATGAAAAAAAAGAAAGATTTTTTTCATGACTGACAGGAAGTACAAAAAATCCTACCTCTGTTTAAATTGTGTATAAAATCACATCTATTGAACTTATATATAATTACAAATCAGCCAAGGAAAAGAAAGTTGAAGAAAACAAAACAAAAAATGATCACATAAAAGTTGTAGGCACAAGAGACACGAAAAACAGAATAACAAACACAGAAGTAGCCTACTATTTAGAGAAACAGCAACACGTAGGATATTATGACGCGATTGTTCACTTATTATGATGGACAATTTCAAAAGGACGCATGTCCTCATTAGCCACTAAGGTTTGGTGTCCTTTGAAAGCTCGGGCTAACATGTGTGAAGGGGGAAGAATTGTTGTTGTTGTTGTTATGGACCCTGCAACAGCTGGGCTCTCGTCTTTCTGTCCAATGCCATGTAGTGATAAGTGCAGGTTTGCTGCAGTTGCTGTAATGTTCCATAGAGTGTGTTGTCAATGTTAGGTCTCGGAAGGAGAAGGGTAGGAAGATTAGAGAGACCGCAGCACTGACCACTTCGATATCTCTGGGACTCGCTTGCTCCAGTTTCTGGAAGGACGACAGCCCAGAGTTGGCCAAGGCCAGAGACATCGTTTGTCCTGAGTGGTACAACATAATACAAGGACAATGATAATGGCAATGACAATGGCAGTCTCTATTCATCTCATAGATAGGGAAAAACTTGTCTTGGTCGTTTACAATGGCAGTGGGTGTTACAAAGGCAGGGTGCACTCACGCATACACACAACAAGACAGGACATTAATAATAAATACGTGTTTTACGTGCTGAAACAACCCCGCTCTGTAAAACATTCTCTCTCTCTCTCTCTCTCTCTCTCTCTCTCTCTCTCTCTCTCTCTTTCCCTCTCTCTGTTTCATTTGTAGCACTGTATGTTCTGTAACCTCACTGCAATCGGTACGCATGAATTTCTATATCTGTACATTACCATACATTGCCTGTCTATTAACTCATCCCAAGCCATGTCTCTGCGCTGCCAGGCAAATTTTTGTCAGGCCCGCAGACCTGCTGAGGTGCTCACCTTAAGGGCTATTATTTTGCTTTTAAGCTATCAAATGCGGTTGTAATATTATGTACCGTAACGAAGTAAAATGAACGGGAATTATGAAAATTATATGAATAAAACTGACCTACTTTATCCCAGCACAGGTACAAGACATTCTGTGCACACTCACCAATGCCGTCCAGTTGTCGTGAGACGTATCTGGAGTCGAACCACAGCTTTGTCTTAAAGGCCTTGTAGATGAGGAGAGAGTGCAGCAGCAGGGAGTAGTTCTTGCCCTGGTACATCAGCTCCATGAAGCCTGGACACACACACACACAAAGTCAAAAAAGCAATTTCTTAATACTTAATTCTTTCAACAAAAAAAAGATATTTAATTGTCTTCTAATGCCATTGAAAAAGGAATATAAAGGACACAAAATGCAGTATAAAAGGTACCAAATCACCTTATGTACGCAAAGGTTATGAATCTCTACACTTTATATGCACAAAGGTAACAAATCATGTTATATGCACAAAGGTAACAAATCATGTTATATGCACAAAGGTAACAAATCATGTTATATGCACAAAGGTAACAAATCATACTATATGCACAAAGGTAACAAATCATGTTATATGCACAAAAGTAACAAATCATGTTATATGCACAAAGGTAACAAATCATGTTATATGCACAAAGGTAACAAATCATACTATATGCACAAAAGTAATCAATCACATTACATGCAAAAGGGTAACAAATCATGTTATATGCAGAGAAAAAACATCACGCTATACACGAAAGCGAAACAATAAATCAACAAACTCATCCAAATGGAAAAAACAAAGCTGGTCAATACTTTGCAGTGCCCTGTTCTGCCTATCATGACACGGAAGCTAAAACTTACACATCTCCACAGACAATTGAATAAAAAACCTCTTCTCAGAGGAGAGTCGGGTGTAAGTTGAGAGTGAAGCAGAATATAATATAACAATGATTCAACCAAGATAGCAGGATTTCCTTCCTTCCATTTTGTGACTTTATCTTCATAGTCCTTTACTTACTGCTCCTCTCACATAACATCACCAAAAAAAAAATATTATACCAGTTCTCTGGAACAAGCACACTAGGATTGGGCTGGTAAAAACAAACTAGAGAAAAATCACATAGCCATATCCGCACAAAATGAGCCTAAAAGCAAATATTTTACCATTAGTACCATAAGGGACAACCATCTCACAGTTGAGCCCACGTGTTTTGACTTATGGGCAGAAGTATTCGTTTTCAGTTTGTGGACTTCCAACACAAAACAACGAAAAATTGACTAAAATGAATGGCTGAGACAGAGGTACTCACATTTAGTCACTCTCTGTCCTACTCTGAAAATCTTGGTCATATCCTGAGACAGTGAAAAATCTTGAACTGTGAGACAGCTTAGTTGTGCCTGGATCAGGCTGGGGACAAATAGATGAAGGGTAAAGGGGGGGAGGGGTGGGGTATAGTTGAGACATTATTTGCTGGTCTTGTGTTAAAAGGTAGCTTGCACTTTATGCTTCCCAGGAAGTTGAGATTGTTCAAGAAAGATATCAGGTCTGCTGGGGTATTAATAGATTGTACAGCATATGGAGACTGCTGTTGAGCGGGAATTTGCACTATACAAATTACGCTATCTTTCATCATTATTAAATTGAAAGGAACCACGCCCTGAACAATTTAGACACTGAGCACCTGTTTTGCAAGTAAAAAAATCCATAATATTAAGCCAGTTCTGATTAAAACGTAATCCTGTTGGTGGCAAACAAAATACATTCTGCCCACAGCTGAAGACAGTAGTGTTGGCTTTCCCTCCCCTGACGTTCATGCATACCCACTAATAATAACAATAATAGATGGCTTTTGAAGACTACAGGAGAAAAAAACAAAACAACGACAGTCACAAACTGGAAATTGTGAGGGTGCCAATTTTAAAAGTTTGTGGACTGTAAGCTGTAAGCTCTATGTGCTTCACAATCTATACTAATCTAGAAGAGAGAATGAAAAGAGGATTTGTCCCTAGAGTGGAGCGTGCTCATGCATTACTATTAATTGAAATGCTGGTGACTGTATCCTTTAGTAATTGGGGAAGTAATTTCTCACAGAAAAAGCCACAGTTATTTTGCAGAGTTTTTCCTTCTCTATCAGCCAGCATTGGCCCAGACAAGCAGGGTCAAAGCAATGCATCTCTAAAATTATTTCAACAGAGTCCATAGTATGGAGATATAAATCATTTACAATAATTGTTAAAATAACCCGGCAAATTAATTAGTGTAGAACTTACCAGTTGACCTTCATCTGCTTTGTCTTAATTTTGCCAGTGAGGGGGAACCTGTAGAAGAAATAATAATGATCCACAATAATAACCCATAATGTATGCATATCAGAGGCACCGACTTACAGGAAAGGGTTACCTGTATTAGTGGTGTTGCTCCTTAAAGATAGCAGTTGATAAGTTTTCTGAATCTCAAAACTTTAATACCACTTGTGAAGCGTGCTGTCAAAATTAGTTACATCTCAGATTTGAGTCCTATGGAAGTACATACATCACGCTTATAGGTGAAAATTGTTCAATTTTTTATAAGTATGAAACCATAAAAGATACATTATACTTAAAGATATGGCATCAATAGAAAATCTAGAAATTTGACGCAATATCTCCATTTGTGGATTGCGAGAAGTAATTCATTTTGTCAGCACACCTCACATTTAATTCTACTCCTACGTCAGACGAACTATAACATCCATTTTCTAAAACGATAGACATGACTGGGGTGCCTCTTTTTCTCCATGCAGCTTTACAAACACAAAGGGAGAACTTGTATGAACGTCTTTTCAATTTATGCGTGCTTAGATTTTTATTTCTATTTCAGAAACTATAACCGTCGACGGTTTTTATTATCTACCATGTCTGCGAAAAGGAGTGTTAATTTTTAATAAAGATGTTTTTGATGAGCCAGTATGTACTGCGTCCTGACTATGCAATGTACAAAGCCTACCTTATGGTCTCTTTGTTCTTGTCATGGTTTAGAGAGTTCAAGATCTTTTTCTCGTTCGTCCTCAGCTGAATCTCACAGAACTCTGCACAGCCTGAGATTACTTCAAGCTATGGGGCAAACAACAGAAACAAATAATGATAATCACATTTATATAGCGTGTGTCTATGCTATATATCCTGTGTTAAAAAAGATTGAGATGGCTGGGCCATGTCAAGAGAATGCACGACAACCGGATTCCGAAGCAACTTCTCAATGGAAAACTTGCCCAGGGAAAGAGACCAAGTGGAAGACCAAAATTGAGGTACAAAGACACCTGCAAAAACAGCTTATCCAAGCTTGAAGTAGATGTTAGCGTCTGGGAAGATATAGCCGAAGACAGGAAAACATGGAGGAAAATGATAAAGGAAAGAACTATAGTGCTAGAGAGCAGCTTTAGAAATAACCAGGCTGAGACGCGCCAACGACGCAAGGAAAACAGCGGAAATACAGGGCTTCGATCCACGTCACTGACATGCAAGCACTGCGACAGAATCAGCGCTTCAAACATAGGAAGAATTAGCAATGAAAGAAGCTGCATGAAAACAACATTGAGACCATCTAAAGTTAAATTGCAGTAGGTAATTGCTGTCTTTGATTGTGACAGGATGATGATGATGATGATGATGATGATGATGATGATGATGATGATGATGATGATGATGATGATGATGATGATGATGATGATGATGATGAAGGAGAACGGAACCACGTCATAAAACGACCACTAGCTTCCAATCTGCATTAATTATAATCACAAGGCTTATGAATAACAAATATAGAATAATCAATTCAAGTGAGCCCCATTGGCATTAAGCCATTAACCCTATCCGTATGCCCTGGGGTCATTTTCTACCCCCGGGTTGTTTTCTTCAAATTTTAGAATACTTCTAGTACGAAGATCTCTTTGAAACTTTCAGTGTTTCTCAAAAAACTATTTTGACAGACTGCTACGCAAAGCGTACGGATCGGATTAACGAGTAAATTTCCTCTTTGGAAAGTGGTGGCACAGAGTTCCTCACGTCGTATGGATACGATAGTAAAATGACGTACGGATAGGATTGACAAGACAGTAGACAGTACATACTTTACTTTTACTTTTTAAAAAAAATTTTTAAAACTTTTTTTCTTCCGCTTGTACCCTGGGGTGTCGCGGGGAGACACAGGTGTTTGTCTGCAGCAAGTCGTGTGGCCTGTAGGAGGGACATCCCATGATCTTTAAGGGTGTCTGCCACAGATTCACTCCATCGTCGCCTTGGTCTTCCTCTGGCTCTCCATCCAGAATATTTAATGTTGTATGCTCTCAGAGCTGGATGGTTTGAGGGCATCCGCGTGAGGTGTCCGAACCACTTGACCTTTTGTTTTTCAATGTGTGGTAGGGCTGGTGTTGCTCCTACGGTGTCCTTTATGACTTCATTTTTAATTTTATGTCTTCTTGTTTTGTTGGCCGCTCTTCTTAAGCATTTCATCTCGCATGTGACCTGTTTCCTCTCTAGGGCTTTTGTTAGAGTCCATGTCTGGCACTGATATGTGAGCGTTGGAAGGAAAATGGCGTTGATGAGCTTCGCCTTGGTGCTCATGGGGATATTGGGATGTTTCAGGAGAGGGCCCAGTAGGTAGCTGACTGCGTTGGCTCTCTGGCATCTAGTCTCTATCTCTCGATCTAATTTTCCATTTTCTGTGAAAATGCTGCCCAAGTATTTTAATTCTCTGCTTTGTTTTAGTTGGGATCCATTGATGTTGATATCCACTTTACCTGGTCTCCTGCTAATTGTCATGACTTCGGTCTTGCTTATACTGATCTTCATATCATATTTTTCGCAGCTCGCATTTAGTTGGTTTATATGCTCCTGTAGCTGAGTCTTGTTGTTAATCATTGCCAGGTCATCTGCAAACATGAGTTCGTTGAGTGCCTCTGGGTCTGGATTGGCCTCTTTTGTTATCTGGTCCATGTAGATCACGAAGAGCAGAGGGGAGAGATTGCAGCCCTGTCTCACTCCGGATGTTACTGGAAACCAGTCCGATGTTCCACTGGTAGTTCGGACAGCGCTTCTGCTGTTGGCATAGATAGCCCTGATGTTGTCTAGCAGTTGTCCCTTGATGTCGTACTGCTCTAAGATCTTCCATAGCTTGTTTCTATTTACTCGATCAAAGGCTTTTTCTCGATCCACAAATATGAGGTGGAGATCTTTGTCGTATTCCAAAGCCCTCTCACACAGTTGTCGGAGTGCGAAGATTGCATCCTCTTCCTTTTCTAAAGCCAAATTGGGCGTCACTGAGAAGATGTTCGGTATTTGCGCGAGTACGTCGCTCTAGGATTTTTGCATACATTTTCCCCACATGGCTGAGAAGAGATATGCCTCTATAGGTGTTGCAGTCTTTCTTGCTGCCCTTTTTCTTCCATATTGGCACGACTATCGCATTTTGCCAGTCTGCTGGCACTTTTCTTTCTTTCCATGCTTTTTGGAAGATGATTGTAAGCCAATGTATTCCGGTTTCGCCGCATGCAAGGATGGCTTCGGTTGTGATGCCATCGTCTCCAGCTGCCTTGTTCTTTGGACTAGTTTTCAGTACATACAAACTAAACATTTCTACTATCTACTTCACTACATAAGCTCACCAGATCAGCAACGCCTTCTTGGTTCTCTTGAACGCCGTGGAAATGCCTCATGGTCTCGAAAGCTATACAGTATCTGGCCATGAGTTTTCCAGTCTCTGGGGAATGTGGAGGCATCAATGGATAGCAAAAAACACTTTCACTAGTTTTAGACAAAGTAACTCCAAGGATGATATTTTACATATTATTATATTGAACGTGTGTACTTTCAATAATTCCAGAAAAAAAAACTTAATGGCTAGAATAATAATAATATTTTGAATATGTGTAATGTTCATCTTTCCAAAAACAGTGAGTTTGTGACTATAATATATTGAACGTGTGTTCTTTCAATCGTCCAAGAAAAAGTGACTTTGTGGCGATAATTCTATATTGAACGTGTGTACTTTCAATAGTTCCAGACAAAATTATTTCAAGGCTGCAATGGATATTAACGTTATTGACCGTATCTACATTTACTTTAGGTCAAAAAGGATGCAACATACATAGCATACATCTTTAGCTATCATAAAAACTGCAGTTGTTACTAGTTAGGACAAGCATTCCCCCCCCCTCCCCCACATGTGAGGCGACAAGTGGTAATGTCCCCATACAAAAGTACCAACCTGTAAGTGGCAATCCTGCCAGAGACTTAACAGCGACTTTAGAGTCACCTCATTACGCACATTTTACGAGACAATAACATGTGCTATTGCCAGGAGAGGAGATAAAAAGGGTCAGTAGAACTCGTCTTTCTTTTATTGTTTGTTTAAGTATGTGTTTTATGGCACTTGCAACACAATCACCATCATTGCCTTTCTCACCCTGCACCAGGGTGTAGGCCACGAACAAACACTTTCCACCTTTCTCTATCCTGGGCTAGCCTCTTGATGTTATTCCATGTCTTCCCACTTTTCTGTACATCGATTTCAGTGATTCTTCTCCAGGTTCCACGCGATCTTCCCCTTGATCTCTTACCCTGTGGGATCCAATCGAACACTTTCTTCGTTATGCAGCTGCCTGACTTCCTGAGAGTATGTCCAATCCATCGCCATCGCCTTCTTCCTACCTCATCTCTGACTGGGATCTGTCTTGTTTTCCTTAACACTTCCACATTGGTGACCCTATCTGTCCATCTGATCCTCATTAACTTTCTTAGACACCTGTTCAAGAAAACCTGGATCCTCTTTATGCAAGTCTGTGATGCGTCCCATGTCTCACATCCATACAACAGGACCGACTTCACATTTGAATTGAAAATCCTCAGCTTTGTTCGAAGTGAAATATCTCTGGTCTTCCAAATTCTATCCAAAGATATGAAAGCAGCCTGTGCTTTTCCAATGCGTGACTTTATTTCAGCACATGTTCCTTTCTCTCTGTCAATTATACTCCCAAGATAGCGGAAGGATTCAAAGTTTTCTAGTGCCTTTCTTTCTATTGTGACCTGTTCCTTTCATTGTGCATCTGTCCTTAGGACCTTTGACTTTCCGGGGTGGATCCTCAATCCAACAGACCCCGATAGGCTGTTTAATACTGAAATCTTTGCTTGCATCTGTTCCTGGGTGTGCGACAGAAGTGCCAAGTCGTCTGCATAATCCAGACCGTCCACTGTGTCCATGGTGTCCACTGTATACCATTTCTGTGTCCTCTGATGGTTTCCTTCATCAGCATATCGATTGCCAATATGAAAAGGAATGGTGATAAAAAACATCCCTGTTTCACACTAGTCTTGATGTCAAAGCTTTCAGTGAGCTGGCCATCATGTACAACCCTGCAACCTGTCCCTTCGTATATACTCTTGATGATGTTCACCAACTTCTGTGGGATTCCGTGGTGTCTCATTATCTTCCATAGTGTTGCTTGGTCTATACTGTCAAAAGCCTTTTCATAGTCAAGGAAGTTGACAATCAGCTGGGAGTTTCACTCCAGGGACTGTTCCACAATAATCCTCAGCGTGGCAATCTGGTCGGTGGTCGAGCGATTTTTCCGGAAACCAGCCTGTTCATCCCGTAGTCTTGGATCCGTTTCTGTCTTGATTCTCTCCAGAATGATTCTGTTGAAGACCTTACCAGGTATTGAGAGAAGAGTGACCCCTCTGTAGTTGCTGCAGTTGCTGAGATCCCCCTTTTTTGGAAGCTTCACGAGGTGTCCTTCTTTCCAATCCTTTGGAAACTTGCTCTCATTCCAGATCCTGGTAAACAGTGGGAGGAAGATGTCTGCTGTCACATTGGCATCTGCTTTTAGGGCTTCAGGTGGAATCTGGTTAGGACAGGCTGCTTTACCTTCGTTCAGCTTCTTAATGGCATCTAGAATCTCTTGTTTTGAAGGAGCATCACAGCAGACTGGTAACTCATTTCTTGCTGGTAGGATGTTTGGTGGGTTACTTGGTGGTGGTCTGTTGAGGAGACTGTTGAAATGCTGTACCCATCGTTTGGACTGAGCTTCCTATCCAAAAATGGTTTTTCCCTCTTGGTCCTCTACTGGTACTTCAGGTTTCCTGTATTTTCCAGCAAGTGTCCTTGTGGTCTGGTAAAGGATTCGCATGTGCCCTCCTGCCGCTGCTTCCTCTGCCTTCTCTGCCAGCCTGTTCATGAATTCCTCCTTGTCTTTACTTAGTGATTTCTTGACATCTTTAGCTGTTGTCCTGTACTGTTCCAATGCATCCGCTCTTGATCCTCTTGTTCTACTTGCATTCACTTCTGCCTTCAGCTGTCTTCTTATCCTAATTAAATCCAATGAGTGTTGGCTAATCCATTCCTTGTGCTCCCATTTCTTCACACCGAGTACTTTTTGACAGGTTGATGTAAAGATTTCTTTGACCTTGGTCCAGTGTGTATCCACCTCCGTGTCCTCTCTGCCAAGATCAGCCAGAGGTTGAAATCTGTTCCTCAGCTGTAGCTGAAACTCTTCTTTCTTGTGTTCGTCCAAGAGACTTACTAAGAACTTCGTTCTTTTGCTTCCTGTGCTGGTTCCGTGCTTTTTGAGTCGAAGCTTGAGTTTTGCCAACAGCAGATGATGATCCGATCCAACGTCTGCCCATCTTTGTACTTTGACATCTTCCAGTGAACGCCTGAACCTACAAGAGATACAAAAATGATCTATCTGGTTCTCCGTCACTCCATCTGGCGAAACCCATGTGGCCTTGTGAATCCTCTTGTGGGGGAAAAACAGAGCCTCCAATGACAAAACTGTTGAAAGCACATATATTTGCGAATCACTCACCGTTCTCATTCATTTGTCCCAAGCCATGTTGTCCCGTACTTTTTTCAAATCTGACGTGGTCCTGACAATCTTGGCATTGGCATCTCCCATTATGATGTTGACATCCTTCCTTGGTAGTTTGTTGATGACCCCCAGAAGCTGGCTGTAAAAGGCATCCTTGTCTTCATCCGAAGCATTATTTGTAGGGGCGTAGATCTGCACTATATTCATGTTGATGCTCTTGCTCCTTGTGAACGAAGCCATGATGATCCTTTCCCCGTGTGGTTCCCATCCTCTAAGAGACTTCTGTGCATACTTACTCAAAATGATTCCCACTCCTTCCGCATGGTACTTGTCTTCCCTCCCAGAATACAATGTTTGTTCCCCCGAGCTGAGCTGCTTCTGTCCAGACTGTATCCAGTGTGTTTCGCTGACTCTTAGTATGTGCAGCATGTATCTCTTCATCTCTTGTACTACTTGAGAACTCTTTACTGCTTCATACAATGTGCGAACGTTCCACGACGCAATCCGGCGAGACTTGTTCCACAGAGAAGGTTTCGGGTCAGAAGAGTCCTTTCGGCATTGTCCGCTGTCCTTCATTGTTCCTGCTGATGCAGAAGCTCCTCCGTCTCCCAAGATCGAAAAATAAAAAGCTGTGTTTGTCCGTGTTTCTGTAACTTCCTGGTTTTTTTTACTGGGTTGAGTAGTTGACCCTCCGCAAACTGGCACTTTTCGGGCGACCAGACCTTTGCACTTTTAGTCGCCTCTTACGACACGCAGTATCACGGCAGGGGTATTCTTTGCCCCCCATAGTAAAGCCCCCCCCCCCCCCCACCTGCAGGGGCGAGCATTGCAACACAGCAAGGTCATATAAATGCCGAAGATTAGAGGTTTTACGAGAGAGTATCATAATATCCCAACTGAAAGAGCTGCGGAGCCAGACTGGCCTACCATAGAAAACTGCATCTCCCATCGACGCTTAAAAGTAAAGCAAGTACAAGAGAGTAACAAACTCAAAAACGGAAGAGAGATAAGAGAGATAAGGACGATAGATGTTAGGTAGGAAAGAAGGAGCAAGCAACACCAGAGCACTCGCCAACCACTCACGAACTTTGTCTTCATCAATCACAAGAACCTGTTTGTCAAATTATATGCCTCTCTCTCTCTCTCTCTCTCTCTCTCTCTCTCTCTCTCTCTCTCTCTCTCTCTCTCTTGCCCCTTTTAAATCCCAGTGGAGCATAGGCCTTCAAAAACTTTTCTCCAGCGAAGCCTGTCCTGTGCATCCTTTTCTAGCTGTATTTATACGTGTACTCCAGAAGAAAGAGGTAAGCATATTTAGTTTCTCACCTAATGACATGATTTCTGAGGTGTCAGCCTGCACATGCACCAGGCTGAGCTCTGTGAGCAGGTTGAGATTCCTCAGACACAGTTCTGTACAAGACATAAGTAAATTAACAGTGAAACAATGTTGTTAGAAAGTAATCTTCTCGCAACACATTTCTATGACTTGACCGTAAACATATTACACCCACTCCAACACAATTTATGTTATCTGGGAGGCAAGCTTGTTTCATCCTGGCAGGGTGGGTTACAGCACCCTGCAGAAAGACGAGGACACAACAAATAATAACAACCACCCCACCCCCGCATGGAAATCGAACTCATGTCTCACGCGTTCAAATACAAAGAGCCTAATCATTGCATCACAAACACCAGTCACATTTCTCTACTGAACGTATTCTAAATTAAGCCCTTCAGTCTCAATTTCGATAAGTATAGAATGATCAGGAGTATTACAATTAACAATGATATATATATATAAAAATAAAGTTTCAAACACAAGCATATCTATCTATCTATCTATCTACCTACCTACCTATCTATTA